GCATCTCCTCATTCCATGTTGGCTTTCCTCTAATGGAATTGATGTCCACTATGTAATACAGTGATCAGAATTGGACAACGTAGTCTCGGTGGTGCCGCATCAGGGCCAAACATAATTTGAGGAGGATGTTCTTCATGAAATTGTCCTGATAGAGATTGAGATTATGCTGATTATCTGAGATTGTTTTAACTTTATGATATTGTCCTGTTTGTCCCGGATTGACTTGATTATCTCAGATTGACGTAGTAGTTTCAGATTATATTAGTTAACTGAGGTTGTCATTGGCCTCATGAGATTGCCCTGGTTATCTCAAGAGTGTCCTGGTTATTCATTATTGTTCATGCTGTACAAGATTGTCTTGGTTATCTAAGGTTGTTTAAATCATCCAAGACTATCCAAACCATACTAGACTGTCCAGACATTTGATATAGCTCTGGTCTTCAATATTATAGCTCTGGTCTTTCAATATTATAGCTCTGGTCTTTCAATATTATCCTGATTAGAAAATCCACAGGAGCCCTGATGAGGAATCCAATCGGGTTGTTTAGAGCGTGCATCTATGAACAATGTTTCTTGCCTTGTTGCTTGATATAGTTTCAATGGTCAAAGGCAGATGGTAGCAGCGTATTTAATCCTGTGTAGCATTTCCTTGGTTGGCAGTGTACCTTTTAGTTCCGGTGTAACCATCATATGTCAGCTCATAACAGTGTTACCAAGTGCAACCGATGGGGAAGTGTTACTCAGGATAAGTAGTGTTTACATTATTAGTTTAGTATCCATTATAGTGGTGTTCCATTATAGTGGTGTTACACATTATAGAGCGGTGTTACAGTGATCATATCACCACTTATTCTTCAATCTTTTTTAGGCATGTTTAACGTCTGTAGTCTCTCCTCGTAACTCTTGTTTTTCAGTTCCAGAAGCCATTTTGTAGCATGCCGCTACACCTTTTCCAGTTTCTTTATGTGCTTCTTAAAATTTGGGCACCATACAACTGCTGCATATTCCAATTTTGGTCTCACAAAAGTTATGAACAGTTTCTTTAATATTTCATCATCCATATAATTAAAAGCAAGTCTTAAGTTGGAAAGCGACGCATACGCTCCTCACACAATGTTCTTTAGGTGTTCCTCTGGCGACAGCTTACTATCCAAAATCACCCCTAGATCTCGTTCTTTATTAGAGTTCTGTAATTCCATTCCACATACTGTAATTTGTAAGTTGTGTGTGGTTCATTTTCTCTGAATTCACATTTCATAACACAGCATTTATCCACATTGAATTCCATTTGCCACTTTACGCTCCAAGCACTTATTTTATCTAGATCAATTTCAAGGCCATTACAATTGTCTGCGTATCCTATCTTCCCCAGTATCTTAGCATCATCTGCAAACATGTTCAAATAATTCTGTATTCCTTCTGGTAGATCGTTTATGTAGACGATGAACATTACTGGTGCAAGAACTGAACCTTGTGGTACTTCGCTAGTAACACTCATCCAGTCAGATACATTGTCTCTTGATTACTGCCCTCATCAGTCTGTTAGTTATTTCATTGTCATTGTCCTGTTCCCCATTCTCAACCTCTGGATTTTATCCTTTACATGCAGCTTGCTTTTAATGAATTTATAGAAAAGGCCTGTGTCAGTTTTACATCTGTCTGCTATACCTTTCTGCTTCCTCACTGTTATGTAATTTTTTTTGCCTGCTTGTAGTGCTGGTATGTTTGGGGTTAGGCAATTTCTGTTGAACCAATCCTGTTTTTTGGTTCTGCATCTCTGTTTGGTATGAATGTTTGTGTGCCTTCATCATATATTTTGCAGTATTTGGCATACATCTCATTTACTTCCTTGCCTAGCAACAAGTCTGTCCAATTAAACTCATTAAAAAATTTGTTAAGTTCCCCATAGTGTCCTCTCCTAAAATTGAGCTTATCAACTGTTTTAATGTCCTTATTCTCTTTAGATTATATCGCAAAACATATTTAAAGTCCAACAGGACAGGATCACTCTTTCCAAAGGGAGGAAGGTACTGGATGTCAAATATCTCTTCTTTTCTGGTGAATATTAGATCTAGTACTGACGGAACATTCCCTGTCCCACATTCTTGTGGCCTGCTTGACGTGTTGATACACGAATGTCTCTAGAATGAGGTTTACAAATCTGCCTGTCCAAATGTCCTACATTCTTGATTCGTAGGCCTCCCAGTCATTTGCTTTAAAGGTGAAGCCCCCCAGTACCAACAATCATGATTTATCTTTATCTGCTTCCTCCTTTGTTCATGTGTTGCTTGCTGGTGGGCTGTAGGTATTTACGATTATCAGTGTATCATCCTGATTCCAGACCTGCAATGCTATTACTGAATGTCAACTTCTCAAGGGTTTTTAATTATTAACTATTATAATTATTATTATTGTGTGTGTGCACACACATGTACGTACTCACCTAGTTGTGGTTTTGAGTTTTGGCTCTTTGGTCCTGCCTCACAGCTGTCAGTCAGCTGGTGTACAGATTCCTCAGCTTATTGGGCTCTATCATATCTACATTTGAAACTGTGTATGGAGTCTGGCTCCACCACATCACTGTGTTAACTACCCTGACACTGAACAAATTCTTTCTAATATGTCTGTGGCTCATTTGGGTACTCAGTACAAGGAGACCTGTGTCTCCTTGTTTGTGTTCCACCCATGCTAAATAGTTTGTCCACCCTGTCAATTCCTCTGAGAATTTTGTAGGTGGTGATCATGTCTCTCCTTACTCTTACGTCTTCCAGGGACATGTGGTTTAGGTCTCGTAGCCTTTCCACGTAACTTGTACCTTTCAGTTCAGGGACTAGTCTGGTGGCATACCTCTGAATCTTCTCTAACTTTCATTTATTTTAACTAGGTATGGACTCCAGGCTGGAGCTACATACTCCAGAATTGGTCTCATATACAAGGTTCTGAAAGATTACTTAGACAAGTTTCTAAAAGCAGTTCTTATGTTGGCCAGTGTAGCATATGCCTTGTGATGTGGGCTTCTGGGAACAGACTCAGTGTGATATCAACCCTCAGATCTTCCTCTCTATTTAATGCTTGCAGGATTTCACCTCCCAGATGTACCTTGTGTTTGGCATCCTGCTCCATTCACCTAATTTCATTGCTGTACACTTACCAGAGTTAAACTTTAGTAGCCATTTTCTAGACCATTCCTCCAGTTCATCCAGGGCATCCTGTAGTGTCTGTCTATCTTCATCTGTTGATTCTTCTCCAAATTTTTGCATTCATAAACATTGAGAGGAATGAATCTATACCGCATTGAGAGGAATGAATCTATACCCTATGGAAGATTGTTACATATATCAAAAACAGGATGGGTCCAAGTACAGAGCCCTCTGGGACTCTGCTGTTGACATCTCGCCACTTTGATGTATCCTCCCTCACAGTTACTCGCGGTTTCCTGTTGCTTTGATACTCCCTTATCCACTGGAGCATCTTACATTTTATTTCTGCCTGTTTCTCCAATTTTTGTAACAACCTCTTATGGGGTACTATGTCAAAAGCTTTCTGACAGTCTAAAAAAATGCAGTCTGCCCACCCTTCTCTTTTTTTGCCTAATTTTTGTAGCCTGGTCATAGAATTACTGTATATTAAATCTGTAAGTGCTGATTAACCATGCTTGAATCCACGATGGCGGTGTGTTACAAAGCTCCAGGTGTTCTGAGAGCTTTTTTCTCATGATCTTCTCCATCGCCTTGCATACCTTGCATAGTATACAAGTTAGGGAAACTGGCCTGTAGTGCAGTACTTCTTGCCTGTCACCCTTTTTGTATATTGGGACTACATTAATTGTTCCAGCTTTCCAGTAGGTCTCCTGTTTGCAGTAAACTGTTATACTCCATAGAGAGTGGCATACTTAGTGCTTCTGCACCCTCTTTTAGTATCCATGGTGAGATTTTCAGGCCTAACAGCCTTTGTCACATTGCAAGTGATGCAAGGACTGTGCCCTGGGATACAGAGCTTCTCACTGTACTTGGGCTTGATCTTATTTGATTGACTTGCTCTTTGCATTCTGTTTGACAGAGTTGAAAATCCAACACCCCACTTTACCTGTTAATCCTATTGATATCTTTTTATGGGATATTACACTTATCAAATTCCTTTGCAAAGTCTGTGTATACAACATCTGCATTTTTTTTTTCTTGTAATGCTTCCATGATTTTGTCATAGTGGTTGAGTAACGGTGAAAGACAGGACTTTCCCACTTTAAATCTATGATGACTTGGGTTGGGAAGTTCATTGTTTACCATAAAACTGGAGATTAGATTCCTAATCGCTCTTTCAAAAACTTTAATTACGTGTAATGTTAGTGCAACTTGTCTATAGTTTTTGCCAAAGCTTTACTACCTCCTGTGTATAGCAGAGCTATATTTGCTGATTTAAGTGCTGTTGGCATCTCCCCTATATCCATACTCTTTTTCCATATCACATTGAGTGCTTGCATTACTGGTACTTTACATTTCTTTATGAATATTGAACATTCAGTGCTTAGAAAGGAACTTCTCACAGCTCAAATGTTTGTGTTTTATTTGAATACGATTTGTATTGAAAACAGTATTTATTTTGCCAGTTCATTAATTATTTTATTTGATGTCATTTTACCACATATATTACCATACTGATATACTGAATCACTGTCTGGGACAGGAAGTCTATTATTGACATTCTTAGCCAAGGGGTAAATTTCTCCGAAATCACCCATCCAGTGCTGGTCAGACCACTGATGTTTAATGTGACTGATTGAGTGAAGAAACAGCATTGGCTGTGCTCTGCCATTTGCCATCGGCTTTTGTAAAAGTAATATTATTTCTATTGTACTGTACAATTATTTGTAATGACTTCTGTGTAATGTCGGATATAAATATTTAGTGTCATATTCAGCTGTATTGCATGAGCTGAAGAGACCAGCTTATATGTCTAGTATAGAAAGCAATTCAATACTTAATACTTGTGTTCACTTACAGATATGGAGCCATCGCTGTTGAGCCTTGAAAAACTTGATCGTTCCAGTCCAGATTTATGGCCAGAACAGAGTAAGTGATTTAGGTTATTCCAATATATATATAAAACACACACACACACATATTGTGGTGTGTATGCTACAGTATTCACATTGTTATATATTTACTAAGAGTTCACTGATGGCAGTTCGAAGGCCATTAGTTTGTAAATCAATTGGTAGCATTTATTAATCACCTTTCTATGGATTTTCCTCATTATAGATTAATCAATGTTTTCACATTAGGATAATATAATTAGAGTAAAATTTTTTGTTTAATGACACGGATACTAACAACATACACTTTAATCCTTAAAGTGCTCATGTTTCAGTGTGTACTGTACACTGTTACTACTGTACATTACAGTAAAGTCATTACTGTGTGTTCAACGACCAACTTTTAGCTGGGGAGGAAGTATACAATGTATGTATGTATAAATAATAGGAAGTATGTCAATGCTTTACTGTAGTTCCAGGAGTATATGACTTTGCCCCAATGATGTCACCACAGCTCAGCCCTGACCCACAGAATTTGGACCTTGAGGAGCAAGACTACACCCTTCTCTACCGTTAGTATATTATTATTATTATTATTATTATTATTATTATTATTATTATTATTATTAAGAATGCTTGTTATGCTAACCTTTAATGCAGGCTCTAAGTCAGTTTTCCTCACATGCAAATGTTTATTTTGCTGTCCAAGTAACAATATTAGTCCTATTTGCCATGGACTTAGAGAACTGTATTGACCGAATAGTAAACTTTTCACCGGGAGCTCTTGTTGGTTAGGACTCCTAAAATGGGACACTAGGCTGCCAATGTTCTGGAAGCAACATGGGTAAGAGGAAGACAACCTTCCCCTAGTGGTGTACAGGTGGAACTAATGAGAAAACCCATTCACGGCTGGGTGGCTTGTTCATTTCAGGGGTTTGTTGCCTTGTTTCTTGTGATTTATTTACCATGCTTATTGTCCCATCCCTAGGTCATCTAACATAATACTAGAAAATATTTTAAAATTTTCACTCTACCAACAAAAAAAAATTAAAATCTTGTGGTCAGTTTTCTCCTGTGTAAATAAGTTTGTGTTCTGGACTGTTTTGCACAATGAAATCACATTAACGTGACGTATCGGTGAGAAAATCGGTAGGAGCACATGAGAAGGATTTGAATCCACTCACTTGGTACTTCCAAGCGCACACCCTGACCACCCCAACAAGAAATGGTCAAAAACAAATCAGCCTGGGAATCAACTGAATCCTCTAGGGGCCCTGAGGCTTTCACTGAAGCCTCAGGACTAACTTGCTTTTGACCGTGTTGTGGTCTAGAGCGTGTGCGAGTTCAAATTCTCCTCATGGCTTCTACGGATTTTCTCAGCGTATGTTTTATCATGTATATTAACCCCCCTGATGAATGCCACCCCTTTGAAGATACTTGTAAGCATAATGACTTACAACTTTTTGTTTCCATATTGGCATCCTGTAAGACATTTTGAATATCCCAGGACACAGCCAGTACTGAAGTCTTCCAGCTCAGTGCATTCTTTTGATATTTATTACTTTCTATATTAACAGAATTCCGGCTACTCACAGCTCTGGAAATAATTGAAGAGGTGAAGAAACTTCAGAATGTGGCATACCAGCTGGGCTTGGAAGAGGCTAAGGAGATGACCCGAGGAAAATATCTACACATTCTCAATAACAGGAAGGATAAATGATTAAAGAACGTCATGGAGAAGGGTGGTCAAGATAGAATGTTGTAGTCTCTCATAATGTGGCTTCCTTACTGCTCGACAGTTATGGTTGATACTAGAAGTGTTCACAGAGATCAGTGAAGTATGTACAGTACCTATAATTTTTATATATATATTTTTTTTAATCCTAGGTACAAATATGGTGGGATTTTTTTGTCTAGTTTTGTGATATTTACTAAAATGCATGTTCCAATAATATAAAATACATGATTATCAGCACAAACAAATATCAGTCTGTCGATACAGATTTGCTATTTCAATCATTGGGATCAGATGCAGTCCACAAAAGTTGCCCAGGTATATTTATTGCTAAGTGAATGGGGGGGTGAAAGTTGAACAAAGATATTTGAGAGTTTCCCGGGGTAATCAGACTTTTGTTGTGAACACACTGCTGAAACTGACATTAGATTGGATGTTCAGATAAAGATATACATTTGCTTTTCTACATATAATTGTACTCAGAGACCGGGCTGCCGGACAGTTGATTCCCGGAAGCTACACAAGATAGTCACTAGATAGAGGAAAGGGCCCGAGAATTTTTTTTGTTTTTCTTTAAATGACAGTAGGTACAAAATTTGCTTCTTTATAACTTCATTTTGCAGGAGAGTAATTATCCAGAGACATACACTCCCACCCAGCAGGTTGGAAGTGTTTATACGTACAGACTTAACCAAGACTCGAAGACCCTGCTTAACCCTTTATATTTGGTTTCCATAGGTAGGCGATGAGTCACAATAACGTGGCTAAAGTATGTTGACCAGACCACACACTAGAAGGTGAAGGGACGACGACGTTTCGGTCCGTCCTGGACAATCGACTTGAGAATGGTCCAGGATGGACCGAAACGTCGTCGTCTCTTCACCTTCTAGTGTGTGGTCTGGTCAACATTTGATTTCCATAGTTCCGTTTCCTGTCAGTTTGAATGCAAATTTGTTGTCTGAAGGAAAAAAATATACATTTTTGGTGTGTGTAAAACCTATCTTCCTGTTTAGATAGTACTCTTTTGTAACTATGTGGACCATTGTTACATATATTGACATAATTGACAATTACTGTAGATACCTGTAGAAGAATTTGGTACTATTCACTTTATAGTCCCACTCCAAAAAATGAAGCTAAAAACTGAAATATTCCTATGCTTGGTATAGCACATATGTACTATATTAGGCATCAAATAGCATGGATTAGGCCTAGGAAGGTTAGGTTTTCTTTGCAGCATAAATACAATACCTTTTCCGGTTTGTCCAAATTCAATAGTACCGATTTCTACTTTCCAATTGCCCATGGCATCAATATATGTACGATGGTCCTCATAGTTACTATAAGTACTACCTGAACAGGGAGGATGGGCTGTGTGTGTGTGTGTGTGTGTGGGGGGGGGGTAAGGGTTATTACCCCTGCACCACTACTGCATAATGACGTTTTCATGGCAGCAAACCAGAAGCTTTCCAGTTTATGATAAATATTGTGTTTGCATGTACAAGCCCTTCTAAATCTAGTAGTTAAAATATTTATTAAAATGGATAGACTGGGGGATGTTGATTCTTGGAATCAAAAGGTGGAAAAGTAATGCATTTTTGGACATTTCAAAGTTAAATTCTACAATTATTGCATATTAAAATCCATGTGTGTTTTTACACATTGTGTTAGAATGTTAAAATACAGTGGATTTTAGATGATGGATAACTTGACATTAGATAAACATTGTTCATGTTTGGTCAGCCTTTTAATTGACATATCCTTACTATATGAAAAAAACTGATCTGTCCATTGAATGAATCTTTTGGGGAAGAGGCAGTTTTGTTTAAATTTACACTATTGTATTAAGAAATTACAGTAGCTCTAAATTTGCAAGCCTGCAGACTTGAATTATGGATTTGCGACACAGTTGAACACACCAGTAATTTCTTGTCAACTTTAAAGAATAGTTAATTCAGTCAAATTTTAAAACATTATGTACTATCATGAAGTAACTTCATCCTACAGATTGTAGTGAAGATTCAAGAATACTTAAACAATATGTTTAAAGATTGAAAAGTTAATTTCCTTTACTGTGAAAAATTTGAATTTTGCTTCAAACATTTGACATTTTGACAATTACTTTTTTTTATCCAGTCTCTGCTTTTTCCATCATTTGTTCCTAACAAATGAACTGTTATGCTTGTATAAACTCCAACCATTTAATACATCTTTCACATCTTATATACATGAAAGACCTATTTCAAGTTTGGCAAACCCATAATGCAGGGCAGGATCAGAAATTATTCTCTGCCGAAAGAGTAAAATGTAGAACATTATGCATGTTAAAATTATCCAAGCAAGGGGCCAGATTCACGAAGCAGTTACACAAGTACTTACGAACGTGTACATCTTTCCTCAATCTTTGATGGCTTTGATTACCTTTATTAAACAGTTTACAAGCATAAAAACTTGCCAATCAACTGTTGTTATTGTTATAAACAGCCTCCTTGGTGCTTTGGAGCTCATTAACTGTTTAATAATTATAAACAAAGCCACCAAAGATTGAGGAAAGATATACAGGTTCGAAAGTATTTGCGTAACTACTTCATGAATCTAGCCCAAGGACAGTACAGTATACAATATTAAAATGTACATGAAAAATCTACTATAAAGGGAGGAGTTAGGGAAGGAAGCTAGTCAAAGAGTCGGCTTTCTGTGCTCGACCGCCCCACTGAATATTCAGTAAAGGAGTTGCACTACAAGTGAATTTTGTATATATATTTAACCATACAGTTTGCTTAATAGGTAATGAAACTTCTGTTTATTAAAGCTGTTTATTACCCATACAATGTGCAGTTGTAGGGATGGGGGAAGGGGGACCTATATCACATTTCTACACAGAGTATTTTGTAAACGAGATACACAGTATATACAACATAGATGACAAGAGTAGTGCCGACCATAGAATGTACATTATCAGCAGATGTAAATATTAGTTGGCTAGTTGACGCGTCATAGTGACTGTAGCCCATGCAGCAGGTTGCATAGTTCTCTTATATGGTACAAATTATGACAAGCTCTATAATACTAGTGAATAAAATAAAATTTGATTATCCTCACTGCAGTATTTTGACTGATCAAGAACAGAACCCTCATCGTATTAAAATATATATTTGAAAAATTTCCTCTTTCAGAAAGTCATGTGACTTTACTCACAGCATTCTGTAGCAGTATCCAATAAGATTACATTTACCTGTTTAATGTCTTTGGTTTATTGCTTGTCTGGGTAAACCCCTTAAAAAATAATATATATACAAAATCCATCCACAGGAAAAAAACAGACATATTCCTGGTAATTATTTTGTTTTGCATAGGCTAGTTTGTGGGTTTGTCGTCATCATTACTCTTCAAATTTATCCAGATCATCAAATGATTTTGTTTTGTGTGCTCTGAAAGTAAAAAGCAAAAAAACGTAAATTGTTTCATATTATACAAAGCAACATGTTAAGACAAAAAACAACTAAGGGACATTTTCTACAATAATCAAAGTGCTTCTGAATGTGATGTTATGATGTATAAACAAAATCAAATAGCAATGGTAATAAATGTAATTGGTAAATAACAAATGGCAAAAGGTTCAACAACATTTATAAGCAATTATGAAAGAAAGTGACATTTAAGAAGTCACAAGGAAAACTAGGTCTTTTTAATAATAATCTATGCAAAGTGAATAATTAACAGCTACCTTACCGAGATTATATCTCCCAAAAAACACACATCTTTCTATTCTTCTGCTTCCAACTTATTAAAACATTAAGCATTTTCAAATTATTTGCAATTGTTTGGCAGATTGTGTATGGAACAAACATTTTGCTCTATTTTCTACCAAGTTTGTATTTCAACTTATCATAGAAATCAGATTGAATAAATACAATTGAAAGAAAGATTCAATATAAATAAATTTATTCAATCTTTCTTTTTAGTGTTAAAGTAAGAAACTAGTAATGAGATAAAGAGGTAGTTTTATACATGTATTGCATAGTAAACATATCGGGGAAACATGTATATTTTTTTTTTTTTACACGTTTATTGCCGACTTATTAGCAACTGTACCCACATTGCATCCATTAAAACACACTTGTGGTCTATCTATGATCTGTTTAGACACTTCTCAGGTAGCCATTTGTTTTAGCAGCCATCAGGCTCAACTAGCCATCACAACTCAGCTCATCCAATAACTTTCAGAAACCTTTCATGTATCCTCTTTTTAAGGCTTCTACCCATGTTCCAGCAATATTTTTTTTTTTACATTTGATAATAGATGGGAAAAAGTTATGGACCACTGACCTTTACAGTGTGCTCCAAGTGTACTTTTTGGAACCTTACTTTTCCACATTGTTTATACACACTTCCTGCCATATATTTCACTTCAGCATACTGCCTGATTACAACAACATTACAACATACTGTAATTTTGTTTTATCCATGTTTGGAATTTGATCAGGTTTAGCATCTGTAGGTTATATTTTTCTCAGAGCTCCATTCCAGAAAATGGAATCTGAATGGCTTTGAGCCAGTCTCTAATTTAAATTACTAAAACAATTCCATGTAGACAGTAAAAGGCTTTGTATATTTTCTGGTTTGGAGGAGATATGGCACATTATTCCATGTGAGCACACACCAGTGTTTTGAAGATTAAAACACAGGATGCTATACTAGTGATAAAGTTAATCGTTATCCACCCCAAACATTAGGACATCTGATGATGATATTCCTAGATCATTTAATTGGTCACTCCATTATATGATGTGATCCAACTGTATTTTTCATCTTTTACTAGTTTTATGGTCTTCATTTTTGCTCTACTGAATTTGGGTAGTTTAAATTTTTTACACAATATCACCATGTTTTCCATTGTTCATTTGAAAATCTCATTGGTATCTGATTGTAATATTTCAGTCTTCTACTATCAGTCTTGTCTTGGTAGAAGAAATACCAAATTAGTATTCCCATACCGTTTCCATACTGATTTCGGCAAATATTGATTTTGGGCGTCATCAGTAAAAGATGACATTAAATTAGCTTGTGTTCCTATCCATATCTTTAAAGAGGAGGAGAAGGTAATGGTATGAGAATTATACCTTGCAAGACCAAATTTCACAGTGTGAATGAATTTCTCTAACTTAATTTTCTTTGAGTTCTCTGCAAACCGTTAGAAA